CACACACGTGCGATTTCGATTATGTGTTTAATATTTGATAACAGATGTTCACAGGAAATACGAATGTTTATTCATATTTTAAATGTATCCCAATAGCATAAACAATAAAATGTGTAATTATATGATAAATGCCAAATCATTTTTAATGAAATTGATTCTGAAAAAAAACTGTAGACATAAAAACTAAAAATACAATACAGAATAAAAATTGCACATGAATCTATCATCAATCACAAAATAATAATATACTTTTATACATAGATATCATAGAGATCATTAGAGAAAATGTATTACTATTTCATCAGATTTGTACTAAAATATACTTCAGATACCAGTCTATATTATCTATATCAGCCCATATTATAACAAAGTATATCATGTACCATTTATAATTATTGATTATAATAACTGGATTTTATTTTGTACATAATGAATTTTATAGATCACACAAATACACTTTGGCACCTATCTCTTAATTTCATGAATTTCAGATATTAAAATACAAGTTTTATTAAAATAGAGCGATCACACTTTTATTAAAATATTTTAGGACAAAATATAAATACTTATTATTATGCAAAGATATGGATTTTTATATATCTCTTTAATAAATCCTAACGTCTTACATAGAAACAATATACACTTTCGTAGAGATCTTTTTTACATCATTTTTCATGTTCTATATAACCATGTATCTTAACAAGGTTAAAAATTTCATACCTGCATGGTATGATTACCATGCAAAAAGAGTAGTTTGTCGATCAGATGTGGAGGCAAAGTCGCTCGTTTCGTATCGTATTGAATCTGAACATCTGGCGGTATGCGTGAAGGTGGTGCACAACAAGCAGGTACACAATGATATCTGCTCACCAGCTTTGCCAAGTTCGGGCATTTCGCAGATACTTTCAACCACCATTGCAGGGGACAATAATCGAGAGATGCCGTAGGTTCGGACTGATATTGAACAATTTCGAGGTCCGCTTTTTCTTCCGCGGGCATACCAGTCTTTGTTGTGCACAAGCTACCAAGTAAAAACTCCATACCTATAATTATGTATCATCAACTTAAAATGCCTATCTTATATTGCTTGCGTAATTAGAAATGTGTGCTACATGCAATAAAAAAAAAAATAAAAAAAAGATACCTGATATTCTAGCTTTCTTATTTTGTACAGCTCCTTCATCTTCAGTCTTTATAGAAATATCACCAGATTCTTCCTGAATCAATTTTGTTAACATTTCCTTTATAGGAGCGCTAACTACATTTTTGTCTTCATCAGTGACATATGGCATCGCTTTAAATCTGTACAACAGATAATAAAGATAATAAAAGAATGGATAATAAAAGAATAATATATTTACAAAGAATAAATTATACCTAGGATCCAAAGTGGTTGCAATTTGTAGAAGCAATGAGACATTATAATCTGCATATCGATCGCATAGCATTTCCGACAAAGATTCTTTGAATGTCCTAGCAGTATCGCTGTCTGATTCCTTTATTTTAAGATGCGAGGACACGAGTTGCCAAAGTAATGGTTTCAACAAAGATATCAGAGGCATTTTCTCTTCGCTTAATGTCATAATAGTGACTTTGAACGGTTCGAGAACATTTACGATATCTGCCATGATATTCCACTGTTCATCACTGATTTCAAACATTTCTTGATCTATTCCTTCTATGCTTCCTAAAATGGCTGTTATCATACTGCGACGCATAATCATTTGTTCCAGCATCGTATATGTCGATATCCATACAACTGGATAATCTAGCATTATAATATTATCTTCCAACTATAATAAGAATACTGATTATTAAAAAACACATATAAATTATTACTATTATTTACTAATTTCACACAAGTAAATATTATACTGTATTACATAACAAGATATATCTTAAGTATTAATTTATATAAAAAACTACCTCTGATAATTGTTCCTGCATAGTCAACGTCGCAAGTGCAGTTGGATGGCTTATTATGGCTCCAATGATCGATCTGCACTTGGATAACGTATGAGCTACCTCAGGATTCTCAAAGCAAGCCTGTGCGCAAACTTGCAAAGTATGAAGCAGGCAGGGCACTACAGTAAAACCGTGATTATTTAGTGCAGCAAGTAACTCTGTTCTCGTAGTGCTAACAACCACTGCTGTTATTTTCTCCGTCTTAAGATCCCATTCGAGTAAGAGAGAGTCTATAGTGCTGTTCCAATGGGATTCTTCCCAATCTAGTGGAGCATGAAGAGTACTTAAAGTCTTACATTCTAAGGTAGCTTCTCCATTAGTCTGATAATAAACTGATACAGTAACAAAATTCTCCTTATTATTGGACTGCCATTCTTCAATTGTAAGCGCAACCTCTGATGCAACACAGGTCAAGGAAGTCGTCACTGACTCCCGGAAACTGTCATATATCTTCGGTATTATCTCCTCTTCTAACTTGTTTTTGCTAGGAATCTCACAAGGTGAACGTAGGGTAGCTACCAATCTTTGGAATCCACGTCCCTCTACAATTTCAGGCAATTGTAAATCCATTACTATAAATTCAGCAATGGCATCTGAGACAGTTTTTACATCAACTGATTGATTCGTTACGTTCTCTTCTGACATAAGAAACGCCACGTTTTGACTGCTACCATTAATACTGGACCCTCCTTTAATCATCACTCTCAATGGTTGACCAATTGTGATATCATCTTCCATATTTGACAGACTTATGTTAGGATCTGTAACAAACTGGATATCACCATCTATCTGAACGGTACCATCTGCATTAGTGGTATAAATATATTTAGTAGGACTCAGGCTAGCTTTCAGCAGCTTTTTCTGCACTTTACGCTCCTTATTATCCTGTGGTAGGAGCTGTCTCGAGGATGATAGACTGGACGACTCTAGATCCATCAATTCCTGGGAGTGTTTATTCTGCAAGTGCATACGGAGGTTGCTGGTGTTACGATTGTAGGCAATTTGCGTCTTGCATAATATACAAACGATCTTGACTTTTGTGAGAATGTCACCATCATCGGTGGCTGGAAAGCCAAAGAATTTCCAGTAAATACTCCGCATTGACGGCGGTACCACCAATTTTTTATATGTGTACGTATGCTTCTCCTCCATCATTTTCGCCAATACCATTTGTATGTCGTTCTTACTGTCGTCCGAGGTGCTCGGCTTCGCTGCGCCATTCGGCAGTGCTGTTTGGTGTTTATTACTCTCCATTTGCGAATGCCGCTGTCGGCACGCGGTCGCTCGATGTGACGTTCACCGTATTCGTGGAAATTAAATGTCCACAGCATTCGCCGTAACCAGACAAATGTGCGAATCCACTTCGCACAATGTCAGCGTCGTTCTTGCTCGACAATCAAGATGAAAAATCTCGCGCAACGTGACTCGAGGCGCGAAATCACGGAAGAACGCATCATGCGTCAGTCGCCCCGCCGGCGACGCGAATGCGATGATGAATCCCACCGCGACGCACACGCCGCCGATATATTTGTTCCTCCCCTCGTGTCTCCGTCCACGGTCGCCGTTTCGCTATCGAAGTTCAATTCAATTCCTCGCGAAAGAGAGTCCGGCGATCAGCTATCGACTTACCTGCGACGAACGATATCGACTTTCGTGCCGTTCGTTCCCGCGAGGAGTATATCGTTATCTATAGACCTCGCCTGATCGATTCGAGTATCCGTAATGGCGGACAATTACGGTGTAACCGTGTAATGCGTCTCGAATGTGCTCGAACAACGAATAGCAAACCCACCTCTTTTTTTATCCATGAACACGCGCGACTACTGGTAAGATGCGCATGTGGCAGAATATACTGGCATTCAGCCAATCATCTTTCAAGTCTTGAGTTAATGGGCTCCGTTCTAATGTTCACCGCCAGTACTGAAATGCATAGTCTATGTCACATATATTATACACTTTTGATGTTAACAATGAGAATTTTTGAACACAACTATAAAAAAATATAAATATTAGCTCATTCAGCAAATATAAAAGTCATTACACATAAAAAAATTTAGTTATAATCGTAAAATGTTATGAGCAATCGATTATTTTTGGACCATAAGAAGAATAGGCGAACTTTGATTGGTCAGTTCGCTTATGTGACTTTACAATTATGACTAAAATTTTTTCATATGCAATGACTTTAACTGTTGCCCAATAATTGAATAATTCATCAATAAGCTACGTTCAGCGAACACAACGGTTGAGACGAACACGTTCAGCGAACACAACGATTGACACATAATTTGTCAATGTAATTGATTTAAAATTAGGGATCCAACGCATGATAAAAACCAATAATCACTAATTGGTCAAATTAATTAATCTGCCATTAAATAAAGAGATAAATTTTTGTATTATTGATGATGGAATTATATTAATTATTTTCTCCAAATACTATATACAAGAAATTATCTTTTTGAAAATTAAAATATAAATCAAACAAAATTTTACAAGAAGAAGACTTATAGGAGGGTTTATAAAAAAGGTTTATAAAAAATATTCTTTTCATTCATTGTGCATCCAACATTACAATCAAATTGAAATGAAATCGTCGTCAGCATGCTCTAAGCACACTAATGAATTGGATTAACTGTGAGCATCGTAAATATAATGAGGGCTATAAGCGTGAATTGGTCCGCAGTCTTGATAAGTAGTTCATTGAAAAATTCCTAAGATAACATTTCAAAATATTTTTCCAAGGAAAATTTTACTGAAACATATAGTAGTAACTCGAAGTAACTATACTACATTATGTAGTATACATAATGTATATTATATTATATTGAGTAAGATTTTTCTCGAAGAGGAAATTTGGAATGTAGCTTAAGTACCAATTGATATTAATGAATGCTCAATTGTAACATAGTCAAACGCCCACACAGCACCGAAAAATTTCGGAAAGCTTTCAAAAAACTGTCAATGAAATATGAAATCTTTCAAAAAAATATTTCAGACATATTTCAGATACATAATATGTCCACTTTGATGTAATTTCTGACATATATTAGAAATATTTCTGACATATTTATAAAATATTTATGGAATATTTCAATAATAAATCTTTGAAATATATCGGAAATATTTCAGTTATAATTTTCTCACACAGTGTCGAAGTTAGAAAGTCTGCAGAAATCTTTCAATGAAAATTGAAACCTTTCAAAAAAATATTTCAGGCATATTTCATATTTATTTATGTCCACGTTATGTCCTCTTTTTGAAAGTTTTCTGAATGTTTTCTGAAATCTTTTGTGCTTTGTGGATATATTATTTCTGTTAAGTTTCTGTAAAATATACAGGTTGATTGGAAACAATTTCTTTGAAAAGACATGATTTTGATTATATTCTAAGATACTTTTTCCTCTTATAAAATTTGGCCCAAAGTCTAGTGTTAGAATTATAAAAGAAATAATTTTGTTATTACAGGAGGAATACAAGAGATAAACGGTGTAATTTTTCCTCAGATATAGTCGCTTAAATATGAGGTTATCAATTGTTATGTTTGACGGTGAGTTAGTGTCGGTCCACAATAAGTATTTAATCTTTAAGTCGTAAGAAATTGACCAATCATAGTCTATTATTCTTTTCATATTCGATTATAATTGGTCAATTTCTTACTTCTTAAAGCTTAAATCACCTATTGTGGACCGACACTTATGCGGCCACTATTTAACTCCTGTATCCGTCCTGTGATAAGAAAATTAATTCTTGTTATAATTCAAAAATTAGTCTTTGAGCAAAGTTTTGTAAAAGGAAATACCGTCTCAGAATCTAATCAAAATTATGTCTTTTTCAAAGACCTAGAGATGTTTCCAATCTTGTACATTTGTATAATCTTGTATATTTCACATAAACGTAATCCTGAAATAATATAGCTATATAGCAAAGAACCTATATAGCAAAGAAAGTTTCAAAAGATTTTCAAAAATACTTAAATCTTTTTAGAAGCTTTTTGAATGTTTCTAGTCATACTGTAGGGACAAATGTACACAGCGACATACGAGTACTAGAGATACTATAATCGAAGACTGGCCACGAAAAGGCAACTTTTGATTGATTCGCCATCTTTTGGCTATTCCCACTTATTCTCAAATACATTAACTACATTAATTTTAAATTATAATATTATATTATTGTAATTGTAATGTATTGTAATGTATTGTAATGTAATATTATTGTAATTGTAATATTATAATTTAAAAACATAAGCGTTTTAAAATAAAATAATGTAATAAAATAATGTAATAATGTAATAAAATGTGTATATTTATAAAACTTTATTTTACATAATTATATTACTTATTAATTATATAATATATTAATTTATTAATATATATATATATATCCTTTAATATTAACGATTTTAAATTTATTTTTTTTTTTCGCTATTTATCTTTTTCAATACAAGAGCAAAAATTAATATATTAAGTATACAAAAAAGTTCTGACATTTTTTGTAAAATTCAATCTTTATTCAAAAACAAACAAAAAAATATTAATCAGCGAAATATTCCCCGTTTGCATCAACGACCTTTTGCCATCTTTCTAGCTTGCGAATTCCTTGACGATAGAAGCTCATCGGCTTCGAAGCGATAAAGTCAATGCATTTTCGTATCTCTTCAAATCTCACGAAATGTATATCAGCCAAATGATGCTGCAGCGACCAGAATAGGTAATAATCGGAAGGCGCCATGTCTGGGCTATACGCCGCGTGCGAGAGAAGTTCCCAGCCTAACGCACAGATATGGTCCTGAGTCGCTTTCGCAACATGTGGTCGAGCATTGTTATGAAGCAAGATCACTTTACGACGTCCTTGGCCAGTAAATGGCCTCTTTTCTTCTAATGCATCGCTCAAATTGGTCAATTGTTGTTGGTAGCGGTCTGCCGTGATTGTTTCACCCGGTTGTAACAACTCGTAATACAACACACCTTTCCAATCCCATCAGATACAGAGCAAAACCTTCTTGGCGTGGATATTGAGCTTTGGCGTCGATGTCGAAGGTTGACCAGGGTCAATCCATGATTTTCTACGTTTAAGGTTATCATAAAGAATCCACTTTTCATCGCCTGTAATGATTTTGTGCAGAAAATCTTTTTTCCGGAACTTTGAAAGCAAAGTGAGTGCAGTGTCACGCCGACGATTTTTGTTGTCTTCGGACAATTCATGCGGAACCCATCTGCCTTCCTTCTGAACCTTTCCCATCGTATGTAAACATACGGAAATGGTTTGCTGTGTAACGCCAAGCTGTTCTGCAAGCTCCTTTTCAGTTTGCGCAAAGTTTATATCCAGTAGTGCTTGCAATTCGTCCGTTTCAATCTTTTGAGGGCGTCCAGCATGCGGTCCAGCATACGGTTCATCTTCAAGACTGAAATCTCCTTGGCGAAATTTTTGATACCATCTTTTACATGTAGTATCACTTACAGCGTTCTCCCCATATGCAGCACAAATCATTGCAGTGGCTTCAGCAGCATTTTTCTTAAGATGAAACGCGAAGTGGATGGAAAATCGAATATGCTCTTTTGTTATTACCATCGTGAATACTACTGATTTTTGAGGTTATGTGCATCAAACGCCAAACCGTATGGCATTTTAGAAGGCCAAATGTCAACGCTTTAAAATCGCAAAAGTGCGGGAAGATATATAAAATTTAAATTGTTATTTCGGTTGTATGAAATGTAAAGCTCAAAATTTTTTTGTACACCTAATATAAGATAGGCAACAAAATAGAGACACTACAATAAGAGACTGGTCACGATCTGCCATGTTTCTGATCTGCCATGTTTTGACTAAATCCTACGAGAGAGAAAGAAATATACACCATCTCACTCTAATTAATAACGTATTTTGGTAGCGATATTTTTTACTTTGCATGTGTCTTGATTTAAGTGTATTGTGTCTAACATGTATCTAACATGTGGAAAGCGTGATAATATATTATTAAATAATAGAAATACTAAAATTGCAAAATATAGTCATAATCAAATTAATTGCGATAAATCAATATAAAAAATGGATGTTCATTTTTTTACTTAAATTTTATTTTATATATTGTAATAAAGTTTGTTTATAATAATAATAAATATGTATAATCATTTTTTCTAAAAAAAGACATAACATCGACGTATTTGCATCTCTCGAAATTTCCTCGAAGTTTATTGTTGATGCTTTTCCGCGATGAATTCTCTCGTTGCGCTAATTTTGTGAATAGCTGTCATTGTATTGATTTCATAGAGAATCGTTTTGACAATTGTGTATCAAAAAGTTAAAAATATTATAGTGTAACAGTAGTATAATAATATTATTAGGTGTACAAAAATTCTGAGCTTTAGATTTCTTTAGATAGAGATTGAAACGGACGAATCGCAAGCACTGCTGGATATAAACTCTGCGCAAACTGAAAAGGAGCTTGCAGAACAGCTTGGCGTTACGCAGCAAACCATTTCCGTACGTTTATATACGATGGGAAAGGTTCAGAAGGAAGGTAGACGGGTTCCGAATGAATTGTCCGAAGACAACAAAAATCGTCGGCGTGACACTGCACTCACTTTGCTTTCAAAGTTCCGGAAAAAAGATTTTCTGCACAAAATCAATACAGGCGATGAAAAGTGGATTCTTTATGATAACCCTAAACGTAGAAAATCATGGGTTGATCCTGGTCAACCTTCGACATCGACGCCAAAGCTCAATATCCACGCCAAGAAGGTATTGCTCTGTATCTGATGGGATTGGAAAGGTGTGTTGTATTACGAGTTGTTACAACCGAGTGAAACAATCACGGCAGACCGCTACCAACAATAATTGACCAATTTGAGCGATGCATTAGAAGAAAAGAGGCCATTTACTGGCCAAGGACGTCGTAAAGTGATCTTGCTTCATGACAATACTCGACCACATGTTGCGAAAGCGACTCAGGACTATATCTTTGCGTTAGGCTAGGAACTTCTCCCGCACGCGGCATATAGCCCAGACATGGCGCCTTCCGATTACTACCTATTCCGATCGCTGCAGCATCATTTGGCTGATACACATTTCGTGAGATTTGAAGAGATACGAAAATGCATTGATGATATTATCGCTTCGAAGCCGGTGAGCTTCTACCATCAGGGAATTCGCAAGCTACCCGAAAAATGGCAAAAGGTCGTTGATGCAAACGGAGAATATTTCGCTGATTAATATTTTTTTGTTTGTTTTTGAATAAAGATTGAATTTTACAAAAAAAAGCTCAGAACTTTTTTGTACACCTAATATATAGTTGTACACCTAATATAGAACTCATACTTTAATTTCTCTTAGCATATGTTTTGTGGTTGCTGGGGATCATTCAGTGCTTCTGAGTCCAGCCATAGTATATACAATAGCGCAACTTTCCCGATTTTAGCGTGTACAAAATTAAACTGCACATGCGCGAGTTAAGTAGGTAACCAATCACGTAACTAATTTTCTGTCACATTTCTTCTCGGGTTTTTTTATAGCGTTCTCTGTCATTTAAATGTTTAACAAACTGGCAGGAACAAACGTCTGACACATAAATGAAATCGTGAAAAGTTTACTCTGTTAAGGCGTGTTAAAGGAAATAAATAAAAGTGTTGAGTGAATATTGAATATTGATTAATGAATAGTTTAGTGTTCAGTGAATAGTGATTAATGAGAGAAAATAAAGTGAACTAAGAACAAAGAGTTATTTTCTCTTTGAAGAATAATTAATTTGTATAAAGATTTATACAGATTTTTTTATTATAAATTTAGAATATTGAAAATTTAAAAAACGTTATTTCCTTTGAAAATTATTTGTTCTTATTCTAAAAATAAATGAACATTATATTTAACATAATTGTAATTGCATATATATATATATATATATATATAAGTATATTTATAATATTTTTAAAATAAATTGTTTTTTCCTTATATAAAAATATTTTTTTTTACTATTGTATACCTACATTTCTATTTATTTCTAAATTTTATAAATATAATTGTATTTTTTAAATCTTATACATTTAAGAAATATATATTTACATTTATTTTTTTATTTTAAAGTAATAATATGATTTAAATACGTTTATTTTATATACTATTTTCTTATGTTAAATATTTTTTTATATTTTATGCAATTTTTTTATCAAAGTTAATAATATAATATAGTTTTTTTTTATTAATCAATATTTATATATTTTTTAAATCGTATTCGAAAATTCGATACATTTCGGAACACTTCTCGATTTAGTTACATGGCAGTCAACATCTAGAAAAAAAATAAGCTAAACCTTTGACTACATAAGTATAGACTGCCAATAGACTGCATTATCTTATAGCACTATTGAGCGAAAAATGTTGCCAAGTACAACGGATTTTGGTTAATCAGAATCCGCGCGAAATTCAAATTAACTATGTTTACTAAATTGTATTTTCATCAAATATTATTTTATATTATGTCTTCATTTTTAATTTACAATTAAATAAATCGAGGTAAATTGCTTCTGTTCATTAAGTTAATTTAAGTTAATTTCTGACCTACCTAAAGAAGGTTATGATTTACCCACTGACTGCTCTTTATTTATATAGCGCATACTATTACAATTCTTCACAAAATAAGTATAACATTAATTTTTAATAAAGATGCACGAGAAGCACAAGAAGTACGAGAAGCAAGAAAAGCACAAGAAACACATTTTTTTGCGACTGTGCACAAACTATACCTAATATTTAGTTCTTGATTAATGATGTCGCCTCTTTTTGACAGTGTGTGTGTTAGCCACTGGCAGTCCATACTTATATAGAATGCGTTCCGTTGCACGCATGATGCGCATAGAAAATGCATGAGGTCGTTCCGTTCCATGAGCAATCATGCATGCATAAAAACAATTTCCCCTACCATACTGCACAGCGCATGAGAATGCATGGCGGGGCATGCCTCGACTCTTGAGGTAGTGCAATTCATGCGTAATCCATGCGCTTAGGCGGGAAAGATATCTTTTAAAAAGTTGCAAATTTATGTTGACAATGAATTGTGAATGTTCGACGTAACTGATGCCAAACTTTAAGCAGCAGTAAGTGCTAATATCGTAAAAAGTTATATGAAAGAGATTTTATAGCCATATTGAATTCCAATAGAAATATTGAGTATATCAGCCGGCATTTCGTCCGCCATGTTTACTTGGGGTTAGATCCATCGGACACATTGCCGATTAGACGATTAAATAAAAAATTTTTTGATAGGTGGCTCTAGAAAATTCTAGAACTAAAAAATTTCTAAACATCGGCTGATGTGAGTGGTGTGTCCGATTGAAAATGTGCGCATCTGGGAGTGCATCTGCGCTTCCTTTATTTATAATAATCCAGTGCGCATAAGCCGTTTTCTATGCGCAGGAAAAAAAGGAACGAGCCAATGCGCTTATGTAGGGTGCGTTTCTTTATTCGCTCCAAGTATTATCAGTACTACGAATAGCATTCTGATATGGAGAGCAGTGCACTATGAAACTGCCAGAGAGAAGCCTGAAAATGATCATGTACTGCATCTAGCACGGAAGAGAACCACAAAAACGTGCACATTACCTACGCCAATAAGAGTACAGCTGAAACGCATCCATGACCACTCTCAGGCTTCTCTCTGGTACTGCCTTGAATTCTATGACGTCATTGATTTTGATGTACTTTCTGTTGCGGCTACTGCGAGGTAAAGCAGTCAGAGCACAAAGATGGCTGCTTCCATGGAGACTGAAATAATCTTAATTGATACTGAAGAAAATAAAGCGTATAATATGAAATAATATAATATAATGAAATTATTATGATATTATATAATATTATGAAATTATTTATTATTATTAATATTATTAATTTTTTTATTATTATTAATTATTTTATATATACGAGGTGTCGACATC